CCTTCCCTCTCTCTTTTTTTTTCCCCTTTCCCCTCCCCCCTGGTCTTCTGTTAAGTTTCTCAGGATCCATATAAGAGTGAAAACATACCGTATCTGTCTTTCTCTGCCTGACTTATTTCAGTTAGCGTAATACCCTCCAGTTCCATCCACGTTGCTGCAAATGGCAGGATTTCATTCTTCCTCGTTGCCACGTAGTATTCCATTGTGTATATATAAACCACGGTTTCTTTATCCGTTCGTCATTTGATGGATAGTTCCTAGAAATAAGGAAGAGACCAAGAGGTTATGCATTAACTTGCCCTGTTATGTCTGTATTGATAAAGTAATCTTATAAGAGACATCCAACTGCTGTGACAGGTCTGTTTGCCTCTAGGGCCTGAGCATTTTAAGAGGTGCTTTGTAAAATACCGATTGTAAATGTGAACTGTTGAATAATGCCACAAATATTTTATTGAAATTTAAATACAGCTTTGATAAAAGTTGGTAAGAATTGAATATTTTCACTCAGGTGTTAGTTTTCCCTCCCTGGAGGAAGAGAGCACCTAGAATACATCGTAGAGCTGGGTTACCACATGCAAATGGAGCAAAGTGAGAGTTTCGGAGGCGGGTTATAATGCCAGAAGGCTAGGAGCTGAGGGCAGAGCAGCGGGAGGAAGGTCATTTCAGAAGGATTCCCTGAACCAGGGTTCAGGCATTTTACACCAAAGCCCGTCTCTGGTGTGGATGTGGTAGGGCCGGAGAAGTACCTGGCGTGGGGCCTACAGACGCTGGACAGACAGAGTTAAATTTCACTCCGGGGATTAAAGGGAAAATTGAACCGTTGTAGCAGAGAAAGAACCATAAGCTCAAAGCAGGAGTATCTTGTCGGAACGAGCCGCTGTTTCTCCAGTGAGGAGACAGAATCAGGAACCCACAAGTCTGTGGTGTCGAGGCTGCCGTTCAGAAAAGACTTCAACCTGGATTTTTAGTGCTAATGGATTTTTATTATTCGATTTAGAAGTTTTATCTTAACATGGGGTAAATTTTTTTTTTTTTCTTTTTCAGGGGAAGTCCAAAACAATACCCTGCTTTAATCCTAACACTTTATTACCAGGTAGGTGCTCATCTTGATGGCATAAGAGGAATTTTAACCGTGTGGATATGACCGCACTGTTTCCCTCATAATACACATAACTATGTATTGTTAGTTAATACAGTTTCTTTACAACTTGTATTCTCCGTAGTAGGTACTAGTTTCAGGTTGCTCTGAACATGGGAGTAAACCTTTTGAAATAATAAACATTTTGTCACTTGTTCTATTATTCTCTGAAGAGTTTCCTTTGGATTTTTAGCTGTAAAAATGGCTACCTCTGTGAAAAGCACGAGCATAACATGACCTTGATACACTTCTAGGATTGGTCAGAGAGGTTCTTTTTAACCTCTGAGTGAAATAAACTTTGTATCTAATTGCAGCGGTGCTATTGTTTAGGTGTTACTCTAATCGTTTAAGTATACCTGAGCATGTAAGAATCGTGTATAAGATGCTCAAAACATAGTTTGTAGTTAAAGGTTGTTTGGTATAAAAGTTTTGTCTTTACATTTCTCTGCCTAAATTTTATGCTATTTCTTAGTGTTTTAAACAAAACCAAATAGGCTGACGCATGGTTATCTTCGGGTTCCTACATTTAACTGCCTCACGGCAAAGCGGTTTTTGCCGTGTGTTGAACACTTATCCATCATATTCGATTGTGAATTCCTCTAATGCGGAGCTAAAAGATTTCTTAGGAATGATTTCTTTTGTCCTGTCATAATAGGACTTTAATATTTTACTGTTGAGGGAGCAGTATAAGACACAGCTACAACAGAATGGTTGAAGACACAGACTTTGAAGTCAGACTGCCTGGGTTTGAATCCTGGCTCTCTGCCAGTTAGTTAGCTGAGCGACCTTGGGCAAATTATGTAACCCTCTGTGATTCAGTTTTTCCGTCTGAAAAATGGGGCTAATGACACTATGTATCTTGTTTGTTGTAAGGGTTAGATGAGTTCATGTAAAGTGCTTAGAACAAACAGTGCCTCACATGGAGTAAGTATTGAATTAGTACTGAATTACGTATGAGTAAGTCAGGTCAGTCCTTCACTAAAGTACAAAACACCACACATACACTTCTTCCGAAGTGACCAAACTTGGTATATACGTACACATGTGTACGTATATATCAGGTTTATATAGCCATATTTGGATTATATAGTGATACGATGATAGAAATCGCTAGAAACAATAGAAAGAATGTTTGTCGTATTTTCCCACTAGTTATTTTCTCGTGAGGATTAGTTTAAGAATAAATGTGTGAGGCTCTAGTTTAAAATGACTTCAGTCTGAAAACTGTTGTTTAGACAGTTTGCAATTTTGAAAATGATTATTGGAATCTTCAAGATTGTCATTAACTTAAATTTTCGTGACATGTCCATGTGGTTGCACAGATCCTTTGCTGCGAGATTATTGGGTATATGAAGGCTCTCTTACCATCCCACCTTGCAGTGAAGGTGTCACCTGGATATTATTCCGATACCCTTTAACTATATCCCAGCTACAGGTGAGTACAACGTTTTAAATCTTTCAGAAGAAGTTCTGAGTTAAAGGTTAAATATTGTTTCTGTAAGAGAGAAATGTCTTTTATGTTTTAGCTTCCTTTAGATCTGTCACATCTTTGCAGATGAAAGTTAAATAAATGTCTTGAACCAGTGAAAGGAATTGAAAGGTCAGGGATGAACAAAACCAAGCTATCATTTATGAACTGTATTTTAAAAGTTAGTTTTTATAGAGTAAATAGAAGTCACGGAAATAGTCAGACTTTTGATTAGTCTAGTTATTTCTTTGTGTAGGATTCCCCAGGAGTGGAAAGGAGAAAGGTCTTGGAAATGAGAACGTTGGTTATTTCTGCGAGACACGTGGGCTTTATAATACTTCTTCCTTGTCTTGCACAAGAAAGTTTTGTAAGCAGAAGGTTGAAGGGGAGGTAAAAGGAATGCTCTGGAAAGATCCGGATTGTTCTCTAGCCCCACGTTTGGTCACTTAACTTCCCACCTTAGGCTTTGCATAGGTGCTCTAATGCTGATGTACGGGGGTGGAGGCCCCAAGTTGCATGTCCTGGGCTGTTGGCTGGTGGAACATGAGGCAACATCATTATAACGTGTTTAAATAATGATTTTGATATTATTACAAGAGAGGTACTTCAAATGTCTCCTGTCCTCCAGGGATTTAAGGGATGTGTTCTAAAAGGCTATGTTTTTTTTCTTCATGATCAATCTCAGAAGTCTTAAGCTATACTCCAAACAAATCAAGTTTCCTTTAATAACGTTTTATAGATTTTTATTATATCCCCTATCATTTTATAAGAACTTTAAGTTTACTAACTACTCAGTAAACCCTTCTTTTTTGCTTGTCCTTAAATCTTCAAAATCCTTTCAGCCTTTAATAGTTGCTTCTTATTTTTCTTTTTTCCAAGGATTAATTTTAAGAGTTACCAATTTAGTTTCGCCATCCTTTTATAGACTTTGATCACATAACCTTTATACCTTCATATTTTTAATATAACAGATCCCTTGTTGATTCATTCATCCCTCTGGTCTCACAAGGAGCTATGCCCAGTGCCAACAAGAACATAGAGATTAAAACGTAGTCTTTACCCTCAAAAAGTTTGCCATAGAGTTGAAGAAGCAAACAGTCACACAGATAATTATGTTCATTGTGAGCAGCGAGGTGTGCTGGAAATGTGTAGGAGAGAAACCCATCCCTGACTGGGGACTTTTAAAATTAATTCTTAGAAAAAGAAGTAAGTGAATAATTCCTGAAAGATATTAGGAGTAAGTCTAGTGAAGGAGAGAAAAGGAATTAGAAATTGGAGTCTAATGTTAGGAATAGAAGTTTGGACTACTGATTATGGGTTTGGATTTGAACACCAAGATGGTAGCTGCGGTAACCGGTCAATGTCAACATTTCAATGACTTGTCACAGAAGAAATTTATTTCTTACTCAGAATCCAGCAAGTGGGTTTCTTCTTCCTGGTGAAGGCTCCTCTCTGTGCAGTTGTTTAAGGGACCAGATTGAAAGACACTGCCTCACTCGCAGAGTTGCCCTAGGTGTGGGCACGTAGCCAACAGAAAGGGGAAGAGTGTGAAGAATCTCCAGGAGGATTTTTTAAGGGCCAGTCCAGAAACGGTGAACACTCATGCTTGCCTTCTCCTGGCTGGAACTCAGCCACATGGCCACATCTGACGGCGGGGGAGGCTGGGAAGTGCATTCAGGCTTCATGTCCAGGAAGAGGAAGAAGTGGATTTGACGCAGAGTTGTGCTCAAGTTGAGGAGGAGACAAGACACCAGCTGATTAGAGAACCTCAGGGCAGCTGGAGGCGATGGTACCATGCAGGGCACTAGGAAGGACTTGAGGACAGTCAGGAGGGAATGATGTCCTGGGATCCAGGATGGGAGAGAACATTGCCAGCGTGTAGAGGAGAGAAGTTAATAGTGACAGATGCCTCAGAGAATCTCCGTAGGATGAGTGCTGCCCACCGGAGTGGCAATTAACTCTGCCTTACAGAAATGAGCCCAAATGCCAGTGGGTAGTTGTGGGGATCCACCCCGATTCCGTGTGATTATCAGTACTGGGTGCCTAAGCACTGTCGCCTTTCAAGTCTTGCCCTTTATGACATTACAGTTCCTTTGAGACCCTCTTTTTTCCATGTGAGACCTTGACAGGAAATCTCACTGGTATCAGAGAAGGTTTCTGCCTGTTTGGCCTATGTTTTGTGTCCTCAAGTAGGAAGAGTTTGGTTTCTTTTGACAGTTGGAAACAGAGAGCAAGATCTTCAGGGGCTGATTGAGGGAGGGATCATTGGCATAAGAGAAGGAGCCAGTGGACACAAACAAATGAGATACCCAAGAAAAGAGTAAGGGCGAAGAAGAGTCAAGAAGATGGTAGAAACCTTCTCTTGGGACTTTTTCCTGAGGGCATCCTGTCTTTTAGAAGAGAACTCTTCTGAGCTGGCAGCGTCCCATGGGACTTACTACTCTCCTTTTGCTGTCTGGTTACCCCCAAGTCTGGTCCTGTCTCCGACATCACATTTCCAAAGCAGGGAAGAAGGTCTGGGATTAGGAGGTGGGCGTGTGAAGGCTGTGCTTGTGGTTGGCCAGCCCGTCCAGGTCAGACTGTGAGCGATTGCAACCTCAGCGGTCCTGATATTATGATTGTTCTGGGAATGACGTATATCAGAGATCAGACATCCCTCTGCATTTACTTCTCCTGTAACTTGCTTCTAGGACAGTGATACACGTTTCCTTGTTGTTGCCGCCAGTAGCATAAAATCTTGGATGACCAAGTTTCAAAGCGTTGAGGCTTGATATACAGTATGTTTTGTGATGCTGGGGATGCATTCATTGGCTTTTACATGTCCCTGACCCTATTAATGCAAGAAGTTAACTGATAGTATTTTGCCATAGTCCTGTCTTCCTTTACCCTTGTCAAAGGCGGATGTTAGCATGGGGAAGATCTCCTTTGAGAATAATATGGGTAATTTATTCATTAACTCATGCATTCATGGATCGATTGGGTGATCTGGCATTTTCTATATTCCAGGTACCATAGTAGGCACTGAAGTGGAGGACCAGTAAGACATGGTTCTGACCTCAAGGAGTTCACCCTCTAGGGGGAAGGCGAATATGTTCACACTTAAAGAACAGTAATTTTGTGTGAACAGTGCCTTGGTATGACGTGAATATGGTTTTGTGGTAGCACAGAGGACAGACATCAGATAAGATTTAGCCATCTAGTACTCCTTCCCCGGCCAGGTGATGGGGTGTGGCACGATTGTTAGTGGGCATTGCCAACCGGGGAAGAAGTGTCGGCATAGGCACGGAGGACTTTGGAGATGCACGCTGTTAGTATAAAGGGCCAGCAGCATGAGGTGAAGTTGGAGAGGAGATGAAGGGCCTGACCTTCATCAGAGAGCCTTGATACTGTGACGTGGAGGCTTCCTGAAGGCAACGAATCTCTGGGATGTTGTGAGGAAGAAAGAGACGAGGCCAGGTTTGAATTTGAAAAACCTCTCTGTAGGTACAGGATGGAGATGGAAACCTCAGTTAAGCCCGTGACAGTGAGATGAAAGGAGAGGAATGGCTTTAGAAATAATAAAGTAGTAGAATTGGTGACTGATGACGCTGGAGGGTTTTCAGGGAGTTCAAACCCACATACCACTCCCTGGATTTTGGCTTGAGTGACCGGTGAGTGACCGGAGAGATGTTGCTCTCCACCATGATAGGGAACAAAAGTGGAAGAGCTGGCTTTATGGAGAGTATTAGGAGCTTGTGGCTGTAAATGCGGAGAGTTCGAGATGCCTTTGTGACATCCAAGAAAAGGGCGTATTACATAGGTGATGGTTGGAGCCCTACGTGTAGAAGGGGAGATCCTTCAGGGAGAGAAAGGGAATGATGCTGGGAGTGGCAGCTGATGAGGGCATGCGTTGCAAGAGTTGTCCCCGTGCAGTGACTCAAGAAGGGGGTGACAGTCAAGAGGCTGATGTGGCGTAATGTCTGGAAGCCACGGTGGGGCGTGGGCGTGAGTTTTGAGGAGGAAGGAGCGGCGAGATGAGAAGTATCCGATGCTGCACACACATTAAATGAACGGCTGAAAAGTATTAGTTGTATTTAGCCACGAGGAGAGGTCTCAGACGTGAATATGACGTGGAAGAATCTGAGTCTGCGGTCCTATTTGTTCAGCATCGCTTTGTTTAGGGTACTTTTCTAACGGTAGATCAAACCTTACAGTGAAAGATAAAACTTTAACACCACAATACATTTCTATTTATTGGAAGTTAGGATTAACCTTGGTGGGCCAGAAAAGAGAACATTCGCCATCCCTCTCAGAACTCCATTAAGGATTCCCTTGCTAGCATGTTAACGCACGGGGATGTGAATGTTGAACTACATTGTGAATGTCAACCGATGTTCTGTAAATCTGAGCAATAGTGTTTTACTCCCCTGTTGACTAGCGTGCGATGCTAAGATTCAGAGACAGAGCACCGGGCCTTTGTGTCTGGCTTGCTTCAAAGGGGACCTTGCTTTCTGTTGTCCCTCTGAGTAGGGTCAGTGACATACTCTAACCCTAACCCACCTGTTCCTCGATTGTTGGGAAAAGCCGTATCTTCCTCTCTGGGAGCCAAAACCAAATGATCCCAACTCCTCTTGAAAACAGATGACTTCCCAGGTAGCTGTAGCTTTTTAAGAAAAGATTTAGGTACTATTTGCACAAAGCTCCATGCTAGCATCTGTTCAGAGGGCAGCAGTGTTAAAATGCACACATACACATATTAGAATGCATTTTAATGTGGTTTATATATACAACGGAATACTACTTGGCAATGAGAAAGAATGAAATCTGGCCATTTGCAGCAACATGGATGAAACTGGAGGGTATTATGCTAAGTGAAATGAGTCAGGCAGAGAAAGACAGATACCATATGTTTTCACTCATATGTGGATCTTGAGAAACTTAACAGGAGACCGTGGGGGAGGGGAAAGGGAAAAACAAAGTTACAGAGA